TCAGTACGAGCACAAAGTCAAAACTAAAAAAAAAAGTGAAGGAAATGTACCTGAGCCCAAGAGTAACTGCAGAAAAGCTGAAGAAGCGAGTCCTACAAACTGAGAAAGATGCAAGCAGATATAAAAAAGCTAGAAACGAAGGTGACAACAGTGGCAAAAGAAGAGAAAAAGGTGGCAACGCTATCTGCTAGCTTTAATCTATAAAGTAACAGTCTAGGGATCTGACTATGAAGTACTCTATCACTATCCCATAAATCTCTACATGGCCAAGAGAAAATGTATCATCTATATAGAAGAATACAAGTACATCTAAAGATCTATGAAGGCATAAAGACAAATTTTTTGAGATCCACTAATTGAAAATCTTAGTGTGACATCCAAGAAAATTTTTGGAGATCCACTAAATGAAAGCCCTAGTGTGAAATCTAGAATAAATATCTGGGGATCCACAAGGTCAATCAGCATACAACAAACATGGTTCACTCTAGACGCGTACCACATTTGTTGGGGAGCATTTGTTGACCTCCATGCTATACTCAAAGGAACCAAAAAGAAAAGAAAAAGAAAAATAGAAATCCCACATACATTCCTTGTATCCGTTGAATCCCAAAATCCTTCCCGATTTTTCTCCCAAAATCAGCGAAAATCCTGTTGAATCTGGCGCCGTTTCGGGATTTCTGCCAAAATTTTGCGACGATTCCTCGATCCCACTCCCATTCGGGTCTTTAAATACCAAGCAAATGAAGCCGAAGCTCTCGGTTCCTTTCGGTGCTCCCCGACTCTACACGATCGCAAGCCTCCGATCCTCCCCCTGTTCTCTCCCACGATACTCCATGCATCCCGAACTCCTCCCTCACCCGATCGGCCCTCCACGACCAAACTCCTCCATCCAATATATTCGCCTGTAGCAGTCGAATATTCACCTTTGCCATTCACAACTTATTTACGGCGATGGGTCCTTCGCTATTGATCTCCAGTGTCGCCTTCTTCAGCCAACTAGCATTGTTGCTTGTGTTGGAGATCCAAATAGTGCATATAGGATACACATATGCATTTTACAGCCATCTTTTGCCCTTGCAAGTACAGTGCATTTGACCTCGTAGGTACAATTGTATAAGTCCTCTACATCAAGGTTTTGTTCGTCACTCGATGGTGTCACCATTTCTCTCCTTATATTGATTATCGTTTGCATAGCAAGTTCTTTATTATCGCATATGGGTAGTATTTGCATTTGTAGTTACCCGACGTTGCTTGCAAGCACATTGTATTTAACTCATCATGCCCATTGCACATTGAACCCCTCTTGCTTGTAGGGTAATTATTGCATAAATAAGAAGCTTCCCACAACAACTCGCAGGGACTCATATGCTTCAAATGTGTTGCATTGTGTATGTTTGTAAGAAGCTTTGTTGCTTTGGTTGCATATTCTAAATCATTTGGGTTTCCTTGATCATCTTTCACATGCATTGAGATTTTATTTTCCACTTGCAACTTATTCACTTGGATGACCATGCATTTAGACTTTGTTCATTCATCCAAAGCCAAGTCCTGTGTACTTCATCCATGTTCTTTATAGTTCATGTTGTTAAAGTCTCTTGTGATCGGACCCGAGTTCAAGCCATTTGTTATTTGCATCCGAGTCCAATTCAACATTATTTGCTCAAGCTTGTTTTGAGTTTGATTTTACATCCAAGACATGGTTCATTGAGGTTCAAGTTCTCATTTCAATTTCATTTACAGGTCCAGTGCGTATGCACTATGTTACATTAAAGTCCAAGTTCCACTTGGTGTTGTACAGTTCAAGTTCAAAGTACAAGTTCAAGTTAAGTTTGAATTTGCAAGTTCATAGGTCCCTTGTAATGATTCAAGTTACACTCGATGTGGTTAAGTTCCAGTCCAATGTCCACGAGTCCCTTGTGTTCAATCTGGTTCGAGTTCATGTCCACTGCAGCCTTGTTCGATTAAGTTCAAGTTCAAATCAAGTTTGAATTTGCAAGTCATTGTTATCAGATTGAATTATGAGTTCTTCATTTTGTTCAAGTTTGGATTTAATTCATTTGAGTTCATCTTAGTTCATTCAAGTCCAAGTCCTTATTATTGTTCCAAATTATCTCTTCTTAATCAATGTTGAGTTTAAGCTTTAGTCCACAGTGCAAGTTTAAGTTCAAGTCCCCCGCGTTACTGAAAATTTCGACAGACTCCCGACTTTTCCGCCGTTTAGGGGAAACTATGAGAAACTGGGACATCCCACCACGCTACTCAAGCGTGTATGATAGGCGTCGGGGGATACCGGGCCGTACATCTTTTCATCCCACCACGCTACGAGAGCGTGTATGGGGTCTTCAAAAGTATCCATACGAGAACACAGGTGGCTTTCCATGCCACATCACAAGGGCATGTACATGTACTTAAGTAACATCCCCACCACGCTACAGGTCTTACCCACCTTGCCGTATGCGTCACACCGAACTCCCTCCTACCGTGCTATGAGAGCACGTATAGGTGGTTCTCAGGCTCGCGCAAATGTCGAAAATTGGATTTTAGGTGATTACCCGCCTCGTCGTAGGCGCCGAACCGGGTTTCCTCCCACAGTGCTACGAGAGCGAGTAAAGGGGGTTTGCCGGTCCGCCGCAAATGCCGAAAATGAGAACCTGAGTTAAGGAAGTTATACCATGGTGGTTGGCGAGGTGATGGCGACGACGGGTGGCAAAAATATACGAAAATAATTCTTTCCCTCTCTTTTTTAACTCTTTTTTTTTCATTCTCCCACACACACACACACACACATATATATATATATATATATATATTAGTAATAACATGATGAGCAATTATGGAGGACACATGAGAATTCTATACTGGTCATAAGAAATGCAACACATTTAGACAAGTCATATGATGACTATAGGCTTTTGCACTCTTTTTATTTTTCAATTCAAGGTTGAGTCAGATTCTCAACTTTTAGATTTGAAATTGCTCTCTCATTCAAGATTGGGTTCAAATTTTCACTTTTAGAATTGAGAGTGTAGTCTTACTTCATTAGATCTTTCTCCTTTACTTGTACGGGTCAATCCCCCATATATGATTTATTTCACTTTCTCAATAGCAATCTTTTTTAACATTGCATTTTAACCCTCATGATATATGCTATTCATAAACATATTTATACATGTTCATAGTTCATACAAGAGTAAACTGAAGAAATCTGAAATAAATGCTATCATTAATATAGTAGATATGAATTGCAATGAAATAAAGCTTTATTAATCCCTATAGCATAGTTTGAGTATCTCACCTTATTTTCTAGAACAGACGGATAAACTGGTTCACCTAAAATATTATGATTTCTTTTCCTTTGATATACAACCTAAATATAACTTTTTTCATTTCAATAATTGCATTCAGAAAAACAATTCAATTAAAACATACCAGATAAAAATCTTACAAACTTTACCTCAATCAAGTTTCTTTTCATTCAATCTAAATTTTTTCTCCCATATAGTTCTTTTCCTCACTTCCTCTCCTTTCCTTTTTCTGATTTCCACTTTCTTCCTCTTTTACATCAACCATAGCTGCTCTATGCTTATAGTTTCAGCAGGCATCAACCAAAAACAACACTAACCCTTGATGACAGCTCAAATTTTAGTATCTTCTATCCCATTTTCTGAATTACAACAAAATGCATTATTTCCTAACTGATTTCATCATCTACAGCACACTACAATCTATATTATCTATATCTTATCTATATCTTACCTTAATGTAGCTGAATTCTTCACCTACACCAGCCTGCAGCAGCTGAATTTTTCCCATACAGCAGCTCCAAACTGTTTGATACACCTGAATTTCAGCAAACATCATTCAGCAAACCACACTTAATACATGAAATTTCAGAAAACCACGCTTAATTCCAACAAAAAACACTTAATTCCAGCATCTACTTAATCTCTTACCTTAGTTTGCTGAATTATTTTCTTCTCCAGCAGCCTCTAGCAACAACCTACAACAATTTCTTCCCTACTTCTCACCCAACTTCTCACAACCAACTTCAGCTCTAGAGGTTTTATTGGGTAGAAAAAAAGAAATAAAAATGAAGGGCTTAAGGAAAAAGCTGATAGTTCTACCCTATTCTCCACTATATTAATTTAATATATTCCTAAATCCACTAATGTCCTTTGGCTATTTCCAGCCATCAGATCTCATCAAGTCCTTTTGCATGTTGTGCTAAGTGGAAAAGCTACAGTAAAGAAATAAAATAATGAAAACAAATGACAGTTACTAGTATAACTTATAGTTAATTAATTAACTGATCTTGAAATATTAAATAGTTATGCATTTAATATTTATACATATGCAGTTAGATTAAGATTTTACATTTATTTCTATATGTCAAAATGACAAAATGCTTGGAACTAGAAGTAGGATTTAATGAAAAATAGATGAACATTTAATGAAAGTTTATGCGTACTTTTTTGGGTATTATATAGAGTGCCAGTATGCGTGGACCTTGCTCACAACCTGCGGAACAATGGTGGAACCATTCCACCCATCTGACCATGATCAAGAAGAGGTGTGCCTCAAGCATAGGTACGAGGCCACGCAGATGGAGCCACATGATGTGCTAGGTTACAAGTAGTGGATGAGTATAAACAACATTGATCTTGATTTGTGTTTGTCCTTGTTTGTCTTTATTTTATCTTTTATGAGTTAATGTCCTATTTCACTAACCCCTTTCCTCTATTCTATTGCCTCTTCCTCAATTGATAAAAACTTCCCCGAGTAGTCTACTGCCATCCTCCATCAATTTACTTCTATTGGAATGTTATTTTTAATAAATTTAAATAAAGTAAAAAGAGTAAAAGAAAAATTTCTCCAAGATATATATATATATAATATTTGATAATGCTATGTTATATTCATATTAATTTTTTTTAGCTTTATCTTTTTTGGAAAACTGGTAAATTGAATTTACTCAACATAATCTTCAAATGTTTTTGCAGATTACAAGGGTATACAACGCAAAGGAGCATATAGAGTTTGAGTTTGCAGTAAGCATTTTCTTTAAATAGTTGATAATCTCTTGAGATTCACCGCATTCTTGTGTTTTTCTCAAAATGATTATGCTTTTCTAGATAAGATGACTGCATGCGAGCTTCTGTACTTCATAAATTTGAGAAGTAATTTACCCATTTGTCATTGGTTTCATGTTATGAATCTGTTAATAATATGAGGCACTACAATTCAGGTTGGTCCGATGCCCATTGAAGATGGAAATGGGAAAGAATTAGCCACCCAATTTACTACGAGGATGCTGACCAATAAGATATTTTACACAGATTCAAATGGGCGAGATTTCTTAAAGAGGGTAAAATTCATGATTTCACTTGCAGTTTATAATCATTTATTGCAGTTCTATACTACACATGAACAATTCCAGTTTCTGGTAGAACGGTTCAATTTTTTTTATTTGCATTGTGTTTTACAGCTTCCTATTTAATTCATAACCTTTTTTTTTTGCTTTTACAGATTCGAAATTATAGGTCAGACTGGGTACTGCAAGTACACCAACCTGTTGCTGGAAATTATTATCCCGTAAGTTTTTATTTATACCCTAATGACTGTAAACACTCATTGATATTGGCAATTTAAATCCAATTTGAAACACCGGATTCTGAGGTCAGAAAAGAAGAGCATTCTAAAGAAGCAAAGCATGTGCTTCTCTCTTAAATCACAGAGCACTCCAAACTTGTGCTTTAGTTACACCCTGCTCTTTTTTATTGGTAATCTCTTTAAACTCAATGCATTCCAACCATGTTCTTTAGTTTTACAACCTACTCTTTGGTTATTTAATTTCTTTGGTGGATAGGTATTTTAGTTTTAATTAATTATTTTGGTTTTGTATTCTTTTTTTTTTCCTTATTTTTCACACTTGTGTTGAGATTTATTTTTGATTTAGCACCAATTATTATTGTTTCATTCTTCCTTTATTGTTTCATTCTTCCTTTTTCTCTTTGGCATTTATCTTGACTATTTTGTATTGGCTTCCAGTTCTTTTTTTCATTTCCCTCATGTAGTGTGACCTGCTCATGCTTAAGTTTTATTTCATTATTTACTTGATTTGTCTTAGTGCTGATGCATATTTTTGCTTTAAAAGCACAATAATTTACAAATGTGTGCAATTTACTAATTTAAGCGCTGCTATATTTCATGCTTTGTACTGTAAAGAAATAAAAAAGAATAAGAGTAAGAATGAGAGAGTAAGGGAAGGAGGGATCTTTACACTTCAGCATTATTATGCTTTCAAAGCAGTTGACATCATTCTTCCAACAAACCAGCTACTGTTGTTTAGAATGTCCATTTTTTATGCCCTAAGGCAGATATGCAGTTTGGCTGTCATGTAATTTCTAGCCACTAATGTTAACATGTAAACAAGATATACCACTTGCTTTTGTTTATGTAAATTAATTTCTTTGTAGATCAACCTTGGGATTTACTTGCAAGATAACCGCACAGAACTCTCCCTCTTGGTAGACCGTAGTATGGGTGGTTCCAGCATACAGGATGGGCAAGTAGAATTGATGCTTCATAGGTACATTCTTCCCCCTTTATCATGTAAACTAGGACTTCTAGATTCTGTATTGAAGCTCAAATTTTGTCATCTGTTAAGCCGAAGTCTATTGCTTTCATGACGTGTGAGACTTGCATATGTTTCATTGCTGCATTGGACGTAGGTAGCTGGATAATTGACTGTCCTACCAATTGCTCCACTTGCTGTTTTTAATCTAAAAAACCTTGTCGTTATCTATCTCTGACTTAACCTATTTTCGTCTTCTGTTCCAGACTACATTGTTTATTTTGCTGAAATGTTTACATTGGTGTTAACCTGTTATTAGCATACAAAAAAAAAAGAAAAAAAAATTCGTACCTACTCGCACGTCGTCGCCGCATTTCGCACGTCGAAGCCACCCTCGAGTCGTTTCACGCACGATTCCTCACGCGACATTAAGTAACCAAAGAGAAGAGGTATTCGGCCCTGGCTCTTCCTCTCTCTCTCTCTCTCTCGATTTCTTTCTCCCGCTTTCTCCCTCTCTCGCTCGACCTTGCCCCAGCAACGACTTTCCCTCCTGTAAGATCGGAAGTTACGATAGTTTGATCAGAAGCAAGAAGGGAGCTTACTCGTTGAGAAGGTAGCCACCTATCTTCCTTTCGAGCGCTTCTTCTACTCCTTCGGGGCTGTTCGACTGTGCTCCATTAACGACGTTCCCTTTGGGTCGAATCGGAAGCAACGACTGGAGCTCGCCTCTCCTCCGACTCCATTACCGCTGTCCGACCGCTCCTTCGACGACATTCCCTACGAGTTGGATCGGATGTTACGACATCGAGATCGGAAGCAGGAACCGGAGCTAACTCGTTGTGAAGATAACTTTCTACCTTTCGGACGCTTCTTCAACTCCTCGTGGCTGTTCGACACCGCTCCTTGTACGACTTCCCCTCTCCGATCGGAAGCAAGACAGGAGCTCGACATTGAAGGACTTAAACTATTGAACTAAGATGAAGTGTTGAAGCTAGTAAGGGGTTTCAAAAGAAAATTTAGATAAGATTTCATACTTGTTAAAGAAACAATTATGTGTAATTAATGAAAGTTATAGATAAGATAATAATGCAAATTTATAAACTATGTGTGACTTTAGGGTTGATTAAGGAAGGCTATTTTAAGGATCAAGGATTTGAATGGAATTGAATCATGAAAGTAATCAAAGTGGATAATTACAGTTGTTTTATAACAATTATATTCTTTTATTTTTATTTCAGTTTTAATGTAATATAATGCTTATTTATTTGTTATATTTAAATATTTATTATGTTCAAAATGATGAAGGATCAACAAAAAAATTTACAATGCAATATCAATCTATGTGTGTGTGAAAAGTTTATTTATCGTTTAAAATGTATGTAAAAGAAAAATGAAACTAATAAAGAACTTTCAACACATAAATGAAAAGTTAGACAAAAAAAGAAAATGTGCATGCATGCAAATACAAGAGTTCACCTATAACACCCAAAAGTTTCATGTAAAAATATAAATTTAGATTAATTAAAGTAACTTGAAAACTTATATGAAAGTTTAAGGTTTAATTACTATTAATTATTGTTAGCAAATAATTACTCTAATTATTAAATGACTGTTAATTAGTAAATTATTAATTAATAACTTACTGTAAAGTAGTACTTAAAAACCTTCACAAACATATCCCATTGTATGCTAGTGATAGGCATTTGTCCAAATTTTTCTCTATGCAGTGCTTGTCACTGTCTTTCTACTTCTCCTTTCAAAACAAGTGTGGTCAATGGTACTTTTATGTTTTCAGGACATATCATGCCATCGAGGATCTTTCCTATCTTTAATAACCTATCTTCAGCTAGTGTGGGGTCGCTTGCAACTTCGATGGTTGGCGGTATAAAAGTCTGAAATAATTTTAAATTCCGATTCACTTCACTATCACTTTTAAATCTGGGTCCACCGTTAGCAGAAGCTTTCTCCATAATTCTATTTTATCTACCACTTGTGAGATCAAATGCACAATATCTTGAAGTTTTTTAGACTTATTTTATTCATTCATCTCTGTTTTTGTATCCGACCTAGATGACTGACAAGTCATTTTTTCTAGCAACTCTTTTGACATAATTATATGTTTGCATATAGATAATTTATATAATATATACTCACGGAAATAAACATGATCATTTTAAAGCATTAAATAGGTCTTGTATGCATGTATGTTTATTGTCTTAAATGAATGCATGCATGCATAGTTCTATTAAACCTTGATTCAAATTATAGCTCTGTATAAATCAGATTCATTATATCTCATCCTACTTTATTGTTTAAATTCAATTATGCTTCTACTTTAGCTTGATTTGACTCTGATACTAATTTTTGTCAAGCCCTAATATGGCCCACCCTCTAACGATCAATCTGGAGTACAATAGAGAAGGAAAATCTAAACCAGCCCCTTCTTACTAACACTCATTTCGAGCTACTACTTTTAGAATCAAGTGAGTAAAATAAACATATTTAGAATCTCCTAACATGTCAACATATCAAACTCGTTACTTAATCATAGGAAGCATTTAATGTATTCCAATTAACATCAAATATAATTAAAATAAATACAGAGCTCTACTAAAACTTATAAAATTTTCTTACATACACAAAAGTTTGTACCTCTATCATTCAGATATCTTTTTATCTCTTTGTACACCCAAAACATATTTACACCAAAAAGAGCAGTCATCTCTTTTTCTAGTGCCTATAGGCTCCTTTCCCTTACCTGCATTATAACAACTACTAATGAGGTAGGCTCAATGAAATACACAAATGATATATAAAAATTAATAATAACATAGTGAACAATTATGGAGGACACCTGAAAATTCTATGCTGATCATAAGAAATTCAACACATTTAGATAAGTCATATGATGATTATAGGCTTTTGCACTCTTTTTATTTTTCAATTCAAGGTTGGGTCAAATTCTCAACTTTTAGAATTGATATTTGTTAACCTCTGTACAAAGAAACAAAAATAGAAAAAATAATATGTACGTACCTCAAAATGAAATCCTTCGAATCCTGCACCTTGGACTGTCGAACCCGCAAAATCCGCAAGAAATCCCGCATACCTGATATGGTTCGGCGTTGACAATTGCTCAGTTCACGCGATTTTTGCTTAAATCATGCGATAGTTCCTCGATCGTCTCCTCGTTCACGTCCTTAAATACCCAATCGAGCGAGGCTTTCGGTTGTTGCTTCCACACTTGATCCCGAGCTCCTCCCTCTCCCGTCACTACTTCCCTCCATCCTGATCTCCCCTCTTGCAATCGAGATCTGTCGAGCTCCCTCCATCCCGCAGAGAGAGAGAGAGAGAGAGAATTCAAAATCCCTACCTCACTTTCGATCTCCTTCATCCAGTCCAAAGCCGAGCCCGACGCCTCTCGATCCCGCAAGCCCTAGTCGTCCGACTTCGCTCCATTTCCGACTTCCTCTTCCTGTTTTGATCGTGAGAGACGACGGGAGCTCACTGTGTGAAGGTAATTCTCTCCCTTTCACGTGCAATCTTCAGCCAAATTTAGTAATGTCGCCGAGAGAGGAAGGGGAGAGATATTAAAAATTTTAATTAAAATTAATGATTATTAATTTTAATTAGAATTTATATTAATTATATTAGTTATAATTATTGTAATTAATTATAATTATTATAATTAATTATAAATAATACTAATTAATTAATTTTAATTAAAGACTATTTTAATTAATTATAATTAACTTTAATTAACTATAATTATTAATTTAATTATAATTATTAGAATTAATTATGATTAATTGTAAGTAATTAATCATAATTAATTTTAATTAATTAAGATTAATCTTAATTAAGGTTAATACTGATTAATTATTATTTTTAAATTAAAATTAATCAATAATAATTATTTATAATTAATTAAGGCTATTTATAATTAATTATAATTACTCATAATTAATTATAATTAATTAAACGGTGTCTCACCAACACCAACCATGCACGTCTTTGTTGACGTGGCGGGTAGGCGGCCTCTTAGTTTTTCCCCTAATCGGGGGAGATGCCGGGGGGCTGCCGAAATTTTGTCTGAAACAAGACAAGGACTTGGAACAAATTGGGACTTGTGAACTTGATTCAATCTACTTAAAAATGACCTTGAATAATATAAAAGAAATTGATTGAATTCAAAGAGCACATAACTTGGACTCTCATTTGAACTTCAACAAGGACTCGACCTATATGAACTTGAACTTGCGAGGTGAACTTTGACATTGAACTCAAAACTTGTGGACATCAAACTTGAACAAGACATGGACCACAGAGGACTTGATTTGGAACATAAGACTTGGACTCATGCTTGAACAAGGATTTGAGCTAAATGCAAAAGAACTCGGATTTAAATAAACTGTAAAAGACTACATTTGAACCTGAACTCATATTGGACTTGAGTTAGAGCTTGATCCTAGACTCAAATGACATTGGACTCAAGCTGAACTTAAGTCAAATGAATAGTCAATGAATTACTTGATTTAAAAATATGACATCAAGTCTCCAAATGGAATGGTGAGGGATTGGTGCTTCAATGGTTAAGAAGGATCCAAGTAATTCAAAAGTCATACAAGTTAATGAGTTATAAGTTCTTAATGCAAATGAACAAATACAAAATTTGTAGCGGATGCAAACACCTGTATGCGATGATGATGGAGGAGATCACAACAAATGATGTGATTCCAAATGAAAACCTACAATGCTAGTCCACTATATGAGCTACAAAAGAAAAATGAGAGATTTGTAATATTTGTCATAATTCATACACAAGAGCTACAAAAGCAAGTAAACATGAAGAAATGCAAGTGCCCCTATCACTAACGATCCAACTCTAAGAAGATACATCAAAGATAAAGATCAAGTGCATGCAAATATGCAACATGTATAAGTTCATTACAAAGAAGTTACAAATGGAGTCTATTTGCAAGCAAGCAAGGACTCATGACAAATCAATCCCCAATACATTCAAATGAATCTCAATAAGATATATACATATGAGACATCATCTAAAGGCAAGGGTGGTATGTCAGTAATATTCTTACAAGCAATGACCACTCAATAAAAATAAATATGCAGAGCTCAGCATGCAAAAGGGGAGCAATTGGCAACAAATGCAAATACATATGGGTTTTTATAGAAGACCCGTCATACACAACAAGATATCCACAAGCAAAATACCAATTGACTACAACAAGTGCAAGCTCCTATGATCCAAAGCAGGAGATTCGTTAGTGTATATCAATCCGCCTGCTGAAAGCAACAAATAATGCACGACAATCTACCTGTATAAAGCAGCGAACCACTAAATTCAGAAGCTGCTACGCCACGCCACCAGATCCGCAACATCCTTGCAAGCGGACAGAAGGCGTTTATAAATCTTTCAAAGTACCTCGCACGTGCACCGTAGTTTGTATACACATAGGTACACTAAAAAGGGTAAAAGTAATCATAAAACCCGCATGGGCTCCGGCGAGCGTGTTATTGCTACACACGTGACGTCTAGGGATGCTGCGCGGGTTACTAAATTTGAACCTGATCCTCCTAAACAGGTAAAAAGTAGTAGACAAGGTATAATTACAAAATGCCCCCAAACACTCGCATGGCACCGGCGAGCGTATTATTGGTACACACGTTACGCCTAGGGATGCTGCGCGGGTCAATAAGTGAATTCAAGTTCGAACTCGATCCTTCTATACGGGTCAATAGAAGTCGACAGGCTTCGAACAATCAAACATGTGGCCGTGACGACCAAAATATTTGTTTCAATATATTCATATTAGCCTTCAGAGCCTATAACAATATGAATTCACTAAACAAGGCATAAAGCCTACGAAACCCGATTCTCTGCCGACCAGTAGACAGAGTCGACAAGGTTCAATCTAGAAAGTGAAAATGCCCCCAAACACCCTGATGATGGCCGTGTTGAATGTAGATCTCAACCGGAGGGGTGATTCAAATATTTTCAAATATCTTCCAAGCTCTAC